TAAAATTATACATAATTAACTATACAGAAAGAAATAATAATAATAATTATAATAATAGTTAAATAGGATCTCTCTAGTCGGTATTTATACATTGTCAAAAAATTGTTTAAACTGTAAAATTCCTTATTTTTTAACCATTCTCGTAATGTCTTCTTAAATAATATTTTCTTATTCGTCTTTAATGTCTCAGGAATGCAATTATAAATTCTTATACACATATTTTCACAGTTTTTTGTGTACTGTGTCATTGTATGGGTTTTAGCAAGTACCAATCTATTAGGATTTCTGGTATTTCTTGGATAAGATAACAGTATAAAGCTTTCAAATACATGTTCTAGTGACCCAGTGATACCGATTCTCCACGCCTATTATTTATAACAGATATAAAATCACGCGTATCGAATATTCTGTGAAATATTGTGCGTAAAACATAATGATCGCGTATTTTTCGTGTTAAACCAAGAATTTTTACATCTAAAACCGGGTTTGAACCGGTTACCTTATAAATATGTATCGTAGAAAGTCAATTAAACACTTTATGGCCCATAATTGTAGTGTTACGTTAGATTTGTCGATTTTTCCTCAAACAACAAAATTTAAATATAAAATATAGTCTACGTGTTATTCTGATGTATAAGCTATATTATTGTAAAGTTTCATCAAAATCCGTTCAGTAGGTTTTGCGTGAAAGAGTACCAAACATCCATACTTACAAATTTTCGCATTTATAATATTAAGATTTGTTCTATAATAATATTATGGACTATAGCTGGACCCGCGGCTCCGTCCGCGTGGAATTTAATTACATTTTTCTAAAATAAAAGTAGCCTAAGTTACTCCTTATTACATCAGCTACCTGCCAAAAACAGACCCGTAAAAATCGATCCAGCCATTTCAGAAATTAGCCGGAACTAACAAACAGACAGACTGACAAAAATTCTAAAAAAAAAAATTTTGGCGTTTGTACCGTATTTATATTCATATACATGTAGTAAAAAACGGTTATTTTAATATTACAAACAGAAACTACAATTTTATTTATATGTATAGATTATGGATAAGTACAATATGATGGAAGATCGTGGAAAGTGGCAAAAGCTGTACCGACTCTCTTAAATTATGAATGAATGAATAAAATTATAATCAATTTGAAAATATATTTGACAGCTGTTAACTGTCATAAAAACTGGTTACCACGTAATAGTTTAAGAACGACATACTCTACTTTTAATGTCGGTCAATCTGATCCGATCTATACAATAATAATAATCTCAGGACAATTCACACAGCGCCATCTAGACCCAAGTTAAACTTCAAAACTAACTTTAAATATAGGATAGCTTACATCTGAATTTGTAGTCGCAATATTATTTAACCGTAGCCCTGCTAGTATCATATATAATAATAAACTACTAAGTACAATTCACACAGCGCCATCTAGACCCAAGTTAAGCTAACTAAAGCTTGTGTTATCTTTCGTAATAATCAAATTTTCTTTAGTAAATACATACATATTATACATAGAAAACACCCAGACCGATTAAAACAATCATACTCATGAATACAAATCTTTGTGCCGTGCGAGGAATAGAATCCGCGGCCATCGGAAGTAAAGCGGTGCGCTATACCGCTAGACCACCGAGGTCGTCGAAAAAATATATAATTTATTTACAATATATTTATTATACTAAGCTTAATTATAGGTAACTATGATATTTACTTATATAACAAATGTGCTTACAGTTAACAAAACTTAATATACAACTTTAGAATTTTATTAAATGTATAATTTTTTTTTTTAAATTAAAATACTTGTACTGAATCTGAATATACCGTCAGTTCAGATAATACAAATTCAAAATATCTTTATTCATGTAGGTCTATTACAGACTCTTATGATATGTCAAATCTACCGTCAGTTCAGATAATTCAAAATCAGAAAATCTTTATTCATGTAGGTCTATTACAGACACTTATGATATGTCAAATCTACCGTCAGTTCAGATAATTCAAATTCAGAAAATCTTTATTCATGTAGGTCTATTACAGACTCTTATGATATATCAAATCTACCGTCAGTTCAGATAATACAAATTCAAAATATCTTTATTCATGTAGGTCTATTACAGACTCTTATGATATGTCAAATCTACCGTCAGTTCAGATAATTCAAATTCAAAATATCTTTATTCATGTAGGTCTATTACAGACTCTTATGATATGTCAAATCTACCGTCAGTTCAGATAATTCAAATTCAGAAAATCTTTATTCATGTAGGTCTATTACAGACTCTTATGATATGTCAAATCTACAGTCAGTTCAGATAATTCAAATTCAAAATATCTTTATTCATATAGGTCTATTACAGACTCTTATGATATGTCAAATCTACCGTCAGTTCAGATAATTTAAATTCAAAAAATCTTTATTCATGTAGATCTATTACAGACTCTTATGATATGTCAAATCTACAGTCAGTTCAGATAATTCAAATTCAAAATATCTTTATTCATGTAGGTCTATTACAGACTCTTATGATATGTCAAATCTACCGTCAGTTCAGATAATTCAAATTCAGAAAATCTTTATTCATGTAGGTCTATTACAGACTCTTATGATATGTCAAATCTACCGTCAGTTCAGATAATTCAAAATCAGAAAATCTTTATTCATGTAGGTCTATTACAGACACTTATGATATGTCAAATCTACCGTCAGTTCAGATAATTCAAATTCAAAATATCTTTATTCATGTAGGTCTATTACAGACTCTTATGATATGTCAAATCTACCGTCAGTTCGGAATATAGTTTAAGCCGAGAAACTACGCTCTGACTCATTTCCCTCAATTGTTTAAGTTAACTATCAATTATCGATAACAAAAGACAGACAATATGACTTTTCTATTATTATATGGTTTGTGTCAGTTTAGAATAATCAACTTTACAATTTTCTAAACGATTTCACTAACACGAAAGTGCTAAATGTGAAAACTAGATTAAAACGGTAAAAATCTCGTATTTAGATAGATACTGTGAAGAAATCAGTATCCATCGGACCTTGGTGGTGTAGTGGTTAAGCACACAGCCTTATTTCTGATGGTCGTGGTTTCAATCGATTCGATTATAAGATCAAATTACCATGTGACAAGTTAATAAATAAATTATTATTATTATTCCATTGGTCGCTTTGATTCATGAGAATCATTGTTTGTATCGGTCCGTGTGTTTGTATTTATAAAAAAAATATCTATGTACTTGTATAGAGTTGTCTAGTACCCATAACACAAGCTCTACTTATATTGGCACTAGATGGCGTTGTGTAAATTGTGGATTTGTATTATTATTGTAATATATTCACAAAAAAAAATATAAGTATTTCTATCAGTTGTAACATAAGGTCCTATAACCTAGACCTCGCTGGTCTAGCGGTCTAGCACACTGCTTTACGTCCGATGATCGCGGGTTCGATTACTTGCATTGTAAAAACATTTGTATTCATGAGTATGATTGTTTGTATCGGTCCAAGTGTTTTCTATGTACATTATGTATGTATTTACAAAACAAAATATCTAAGTATTTGCATCAGTTATCTAGTACCCATAACACAACTCTACTTTGACCTAGATAGCACTATGTGGACAGTATAGATTAAAAGAAAGAAAAAAAAGAAGCATCAATTATCTATACATATAAAATTGGAGTGTCTGTTTGTAATATTGAAATAACCGTTTCTTACTACATGCATATACGAGCAAGCAACTTGCGTATTGCTAACCCCTAAGCAACCTTAATTTACTCTTCTTGAAAAACCCCATGCTGTAGTCTCTCGAGAAAACCTCGGCAGGTAGTTCATTCCACAATGTAAGTGTACGCGGGAGGAAGCTCCTCTGAAACCGCACTGTCCGAGACCACTTAGGTTCCAGCGTGTGGGGATGAATTCCCTGTCGACGGCGAGTAATGCGATGATAAAATAAAAGGTAGACGTAGGCATCATGCCTGCTTAAGATATAAAATAAGTATGTTAACGATCAATAGAAATCTATGGGAATCCATTGAAAGCATTTAGCTCCATTAGAAACAAATAACATCATGGGAATCGCCCATGAGAGTGGTAAATATTAAAACACTTTCACTGAACAATTGTTTTAGAAAATAATAGTAAACTATGGGAAAATATAGACATAAATTTATAATATTTATAAAAGTGTTAGAGCACTATGGTTTAAAGGCATGAGCGCCTCGTATCTGGATCGAAGTATTTTTCTATCAATACACATTTTTTTTACTATATCATATTTTATTCTGTGTGCCCGCGGTTTCATTCCCACAAAATTTGTAGCTTAGGTATTATTCTGGTGTATAAGCTACATTACTGTAAAGTTTCATCAAAATCCGTTGAGTAGTTTTTACGTGAAAGAGTAACAAACATCCAACCATCCAACTATCCGTCATAAATATCGTAAAGTAGTATTACGGTTGTATGTATGTATGATTGTATATATATTCATATATATGTATATATATGTAAGTTTATTACATTATTTTGTATTGTATTATGTTATATGTATATTTATAACATTTCTTCCAATATTGTTACCATCGTTACACCTCTACCAGACGCAAATCTGATCACTTCTCTCCATCCTAAGGTTGCCTGGAAGAGATCGCTTTTTAGCGATAAGGCCGCCAATTGTTACCTCTTTGTCTTGTTTATTGTATTTTTTTTAATTATTTTATACATAATTGTATTTCTGTGAGAGAAACAATAAAAAGTTTCATTCATTCATTCATAGACATCAAGTAAGCATGATGCAGACGAAGTTGTGCGAGTCAGATAGTTAAATATACAGTTACTTCAGTAGAAAATAAATCTGTCATAATTATCAGAGCAGACCAGTCCCTACAAGCAGTACCCCTTCACGAGTACAACGGGTGAGCCAGCCATCGTTGTGTTCTACCATATTTTAAGGAAAGTTAACGTTTCTTATTTGTTACAGAGGATGCAGATGCAGAAGCCAGGACGTCAGGAAGGTCGATAGAGGAGATGCCTTCCAAGATAGGGAGGCAGGTGGAAGAATCCTTGCTGTCTATAGGCAGAGCGATCGAAGTTGCAGTGGCAAGGTAAGATTACGAGGTATTTAAGTTTGTTGCCTCACAATATTGTATTGTTAATGTAAATCTAAATATATATAACTCAAAGGTGACTGACATAGTGATCTATCAACGCACAGCCCAAACTACTGGACGGATCGGGCTGAAATTTGGCATGCAGATAGATGTTATGACGTAACGTTAAGAAAGGATTTGGATTAATTCTACCCCCAAGGGGATAAAATAGGGGATGAAAGTTTGTATGACACTTTGTCAAATTTAAACCGATCGGGCTGATACTTTGCATTCATAAAGCTACTATGATATAGGCATCCTCTAAAAAAGGATTTTGATAAATTCCACACCTAAGGGGATATATTAACGCGAGCGAAGCCGCGTGCAAAAGCTAGTCTTTATATATAATAGTTACATGTCACGTTGTTCGTCCGCGATGGACTCCTAAACTACTAAACCGATTGTAAATTAGACTTGCACATTGTGTGCAATTTGATCCAACTTGAAAGATAGCATAGCTTACATGTCAATTTATAGTCGCAATATTATTTTATTCAAGAACCTTAGTCTCAGCAACGCGTGGCCGGGTCTGTTAGTATTATATAATTTGAAATACAAATTCAAAAATATTATCTTCATGTAGGACATTTTAGCCGCTTATGAATGTCAAGTTTTTTTTATATTAATATTTTTTCTGCTAACATTGTTGCCTCGCAATATTGTAATGTCAATGTATTCATTCTTATTATTTCAAATTCAAATTCAAAAATCATTAATTCATTTAGGATTTTAGCTGCTTATGAATGTGAAATTTTTTGTAATCAATATGTTTTCCCTACCGCCCAGTTCAGTATACAGGTTCAGTTGAGAAGAACTGGCAAAAACTCAATTGAATATCTTTTTTTTAAAAGCCAGTTTTGTTACAATGTATATTTATATAGGTGTCTATGTCTAACATTAAATGAAAATCCCGTGCATGAACAACTATTGCCATGCACGCTCGTCATTCAAGTAATCGTTTAGTGAGTAATAGGCTTTGCTCAGTAAATATGATTTAACAGATGTTTTGAATTTATTTAAGGGTAATTCCAGTAGTAAAGGAATTTTGGGGGAAAAAACATGATGTGCTAAACTATCCTTCATGAATACAAGATTTTTGATTTAAGTTAATTTGATTTGATTTGATTCGATAACGTGTGGGTATACCACGCGCCATATTTACAAAACAAGACGGTACTTTCTTTACGCAACTATGCGATAATTTGGCCAAAGTTTCACTGACTCACATCCTGCTTTCTCCCTTCCGCTTTCGGCGGGCCGTTAAGACGGAAAGAGATGGAACGCCTTTCCGGTATTGAGGTCAATATTAAAGGATATTCAGAAACCAGCCGTGGCCATTTTTGTCATTAACGTAAACTTGTTTAACCGATTACGAGGGAAAGGAGAGTCGTGTTGTTTACGGGAGTGTCGGCTTCGGAATTTCACTTTTCTGAATATCATCACCCCACTTTTTGGAAAGTGGTATACGGATAACATTGGTCCCTAACTATTGTTGACCTCCTATCTTGAATGGGTGACCGGTTTCAGGGTGAGATATGGCAGTAATTAAAGATAGAAAAAGAAAGAAAAGAACAGAGAAGATACAAGATATCTTTGTCCTCAGAAATGAGAATGCATAGAATGCAATAGTCTTGCATCATAATGAATTATAGGTACACATCTTTTAAACTACGCAACGGATTTTAATGCAGTTTCTACAATAGCTATAGATAAAGTGATTTAAAAGGAAGGTTTATATGTGTAATACCTGTACACCCGTGCTAAGCCAGGGCGGGTAGCTAGTGCGGAATTACATATAGAATAGAATAGAAAATCATTTATTCAAATAAACTTACATTGAAGCACTTTTGAATAGTCATTACATTTTTTTAATCTACCGCTCGTTCGGAAACCTGTCTCATCACAAGAAGAACGATCAAGAAACTTTCGTGTTGCTCTTTTAAATAATTTTATTATTACTTTACATTTTTAAGTTTAAGTGTGTGAATACAAACCACCAATTAGCACTAATTCAATTAAATACTCAAATAGAAAAAATATTGAATATATAACCAACTGGTTAAACAATTAATAAGAGGAAATCACTAAAATGTCCAGACATGTGACGGCGTGGTGGGCCGGGTCATTGGGCTCCCAAAAATATGGTCGAGCGCAGTGATCGCTGGCTCATCCGTCATACTCGTGAACGAGTGCTGCTTGTAGGAGTGGTTTGCTCTTATCACTACGACTGATTTAATCTTATTGCATATTTATATTTGACCCAAATAAATTAGTGTTGGTTGGTAGTTTGTATTCACACGTTTCGACTTGTAAATGTAAACTTACAAGGATTATTTAAAAGAGCAACACACAAGTTTCTTGCTCGTTCTTCTTCTGATGACAAGACTTTCCGAACGATCGGTAGATAAAAAAAATATGTTACACATTCTATCGACTAAAACAGACGGACCGTGAAAGGTCGAACCTCGGACCACCAAATATGTGAAACATCTTTCTCAAAGATGAATTAAAAAGAAATCGAGATCCACCTAGGTAAGTGGGCGTCCGAAAATTCGAACGACTTTTTTTTATTTTTCTTTGAATTTGTTGTTCCCCTTGAGTACTAAACTATAAAAAACTGTCTAAGACCGTCAGTTAAGTTTCTTACATTAAATAAATAATAAATAAATAACCCTGAACAATTAACACAGCGCCATCTAGTCCCACGGTAAGCAGAGCTTGTGTTATGGGTACTAGACAACTGATATGAACATTTACTTTTTTTATACATATTATACATAGAAAACACCCAGACCGATACAAACAATCATGCGAGGAATCGAACCCGCGACCATCGGAAGTATAGCGGCGTGCTAAACCTCTAGAGCGTAAAATTTTAGGTGTTGCATTTTATAATTCAGAATTGAATTTTTAACCAAAAAAATCGGTCCAGCCATTTCAGAGAATAGCCGGAACAAACAGACAGACTGACAAATATTGTAAAAAATGTTATTTTGGAGTAAGATTTCAATTGAGATTAAAATGTATATTTATATGCACGTAGTAAAATACGTTATTTCAATATTACAAACAGTGTCTGTTTGTAATATTGAAATAACCATCGCAATCAATTCCAATTTTATATTTAAAACTAATTTTTTTTTTAACTCATTCAAGTACTTCTTCATTGACATACTCTTACACATAATCTAAAAATTCTTAAAAATTTTAATCTGAACATCGTACATTTTAAAAGGCAATACGCAAGTTTCACATTCAAACTTCTTGCGATTACGTGCCGAATGAGTGGTAGAAACAAAATAATAATACCATTAAAAAGTGCTTATGTCAAGTTTATCTGAATACAGATTATTCTATTTCTGTGACATGAACACAGATTATATCACGTGAATCTGAATGCAGATTATCTCTATTTTTATAACATGAACATAGATTATATTATGAGAACGGATATGGGCTATTTTTTGCCACAGAAAAGAAAACAAAATGGCGTGTAACAACTGATATAGAGTACTATTACTATAATATTTTATCATATATAAATTTATTATACTAAGCTAGCTAAAGCTTGTGTTATGGATACTAGACAACTGATACAAATATATATAGATATAGATTTTTTTTTTCGTAAATACATACATATTATACATATATATTATGAAGGAATCTATGTATCTATCTACTGGTCTACTGAGATACAGGCCTCGTGCCTAGTTCAGTTCCCAAGCTCATACAATCACAACATATTGTTTATAAAAATGAATTTATACCTGTACATGATTATGGCTTAATAAAATTTATTATTATTGTTATCTTATAAACTTTAAATCCATAGCACTGACAATATTATCTGATTACATTAATAATGAGTGCGTAGCGATTTCTATGTTGATTATCGCATGCCTCTTACTTGTTATACTGTAATTATTTATATAAAAAAAACATCCATCCAAAAGAGCAACACACAAGTTTCTTGCTCATTCTTCTTGTGATGAATCTGCATTCCGAATGAGTGGTAGAATCAAAATATGACTATTCAAAAGTGCTTGTAATGAGTTTATTTGAATAAAGATTATTTTTATTCCTATTTCTATTTCTTATCGTAATGAAGATCCAAACCACAGACTATAGAAACAAATAAATTCAAATTCAGAAATCATTTATTCATGTAGGAAATTTAAGCCGCTTATTAACGTCAAGTTTTTACATTATAATTTTTACCCTACCGTCCAGTTCAGTATATAGATCCAATTGAGAAGAACTGGCAAGAAACTCAAAAAATAAGTTTTAAGTAGCTGTGACGTGGTCGAGTGCAATGAGTACTCATGGTCACTAAAATGTCCAGACATGTGGCGGCGTGGTGCCCAGGGAGGGTCGATTAGCTCCCTAAAATATGGTCGAACGCAGTGATGGCTGGCTCATCCGTCATACTCGTGAACGAGTGCTGCTTGTAGGGACTGGTTTGCTCTTATCACTATGACTGATTTAATCTTACATATATATTTATATTTGACCCAAATAATTTAGTGCTGGTTAGTAGTTTGTATTCACACGTTTCGACTTGTAAATGTAAACTTACAAGGATTATTTAAAAGAGCACCACACAAGTTTCTTGCTCGTTCTTCTTGTGATGAGACAGCTTTCCGGACGATGGGTAGATAAAAAAAAAGGTTATGACTATTCAAAAGTGGTTAAATTAAGTTTATTTGAATAAATGATTTTCTATTCTATTCTATTCTATTCTAAAAAAACAAAATGGCGTCTAGTAACTAATATAGTGTAGTTCAATTTAATGCACATCCAAACCACAGACTATAGAAGCAAATAAACAAATGTTTTACATAAGCTAATATTTTCTTAAGTGCAATGCGTGCGCGCTCACCGCCTATTACCACTTAAACCGGTCATCGAACCTGCGACCTGTGAATGAAACCCACCTTGCACTTTCACCGGCCGCGATCTAAATGAGTGACGAGTTTGTACCACTGGTTGAGTTGTTAAAAGTGAATTTGTGTCTATCGAAATGTCATTTGGATATATCGCATGCCACCGGCTTTTGAAATGGTAAAGTCAGTCATATATAACTAGCAGTTCCCGCGACTTCGTCCGCGTGGAATTTAACTATACTAACATATTTCATTGTAATATTATGGAATGCAATAAATATTAAGTATTGAAAAAAAAAACTTTCTTTTTCTAAAGTGAAAGCACAACATACATCAGCTACCTGCCAAAAAAATCCCGTCAAAATCGGGCCAGCCATTTCAGAGATTAGCCGGAACAAACAGACAGACAGACAGACATTATATATATATATTGTAAAAAATGTTATGTTGGTGTATGTACCGTATTTATACTCATATTCATGTCGTAAAACGGTTATTTCAATATTACAAACAGACACTCCAATTTTATATGTATAGATAGCAGTTTCTCCGACTTTATTTTTTTTTATTATTTAATTCTAGCTACATGCTTCATATTATAAATACTCATAATAAATAGTATATTAAGGTTTCTTAAGGGTCGGCAACGCGCACGTGACACCCCTGGTGTTTCAGGCGTCCATAGGCTACGGTAACCGTTTACCATCAGATGGGCCGTATGTTTGAATTACCACCATCGAAGTGGTAATTCAAACATACGTCCATACATAACATACGTATTAAAATGAACTTTACAGTTTCACTATCATAACTCACACTTCAACTGAAATATATTTTACAAAGCAAAATTAAACGGTATACTAAAGGAATAAATATAAAAATTCAAGCAAATTGAGAATTTGTTTTTTCACTTGTCTGCTTTAATCACTACGACTGATTTAATCCTATGTTTTTTAAATAGAAATAGAAATAATCTTTATTCAAATAAACTAATTACAAGCACTTTTGAACAGTCATATTTTGATTCCACCACTCATTCGGAATGCAGATTCATCACAAGAAGAATGAGCAAGAAACTTGTGTGTTGCACTTTTTAATAGATGTTTTTTTTATATAATAATTACAGTGTAACAAGTAAGAGACATGCGATAATCAACATAGAAATCGCTACGCACTCATTATTAGTGTAATCAGATAATATTGTCAGTGCTATGCATTTAAAGTTTTTCTATAAAAACATTATTATCGTTAACGAATTCTTCAATTTTATAGTAAGCTTTTTTGCAAAGGAACTGTTTTATTTGACATTTTAATCTTTTTATCGAGTTTACCCTTTTCAGGGAAAGGCCCAGGACTCAGCTCATACAGTCATAACTGATTTAGTCTTATTTAGTTACTTAACCAGTTGGTTGTGTATTTAATATTTTGACTGTAATAAATTAGTGCTGGTTGGTAGTTTGTATACACACATTTAACTTGTAAATGTGAACTTACAAGGATTATTTAAAAGAGCAACACACAAGTTTCTTGCTCGTTCTTCTTATGATGAGACAGCTTTCCGAATGAGCGGTAGATTAAAAAAATATAATAATTAAAAAGTCCTTAAATTTAAGTATATTTGTATAAAAAAGATTCTATTCTATTCTATTAAGTTACAATTAAGAATTCCTAGTTACATAATAAACAAATTTTTCTGTTCTATTAAAAACTGTCGAGTAATTTCGAAGAGCGCTTTTTTTGTTTAATAACTAACAACTTTCTAATAACTTCTTAGTTCTATCAAAATGTGTAGAGCAATTTCTGAGAGCGATTTTTTTTAAATCGGTACCAAAGCATACATTATGTTTATTAACTACCAACTTTCCACTAATTGCTTTGTTCCATCAAAATCTGTCGAGCAATTTCTAATAGCGTTTTTTTTAAATCGGTGCCAGAGCATACATTATTTAACGCAACTTTCGACTGCATAATGATTTGAACTGCGGGTAGTGGGTTCAAATTCGTTGTCACGTCTAACCGTTATGCAAATGACAAATGGCGATAGCGTGATGTGACAAATATTTACATGACCAGTGCGGGTTCTATTCTGGAGAATGACGAGAGTGTATTAAGTAGTTTCTATGTTAAGTTTTTTAGAGAAAGTGAAATAGTGAATGTTTGTTAAATTTAGGAGATACGTAAAATCTTTATTTTGTATTTATTATGGATATTGTTGGCCATGGGGGTCTAGGGGTTAAGCATACCGCTTTACTTCCGATGGTCGCGGGTTCGATTCCTTGCACGACGCGTTCATGAGTATGATTGTTTATACTGACCTGAATGTTTCCTATGTGTGTACTATCTCTGCCCAATTTTACTCGCACAAAATTTATAGGCTGTATGTTATTCTGATGTATAAGCTATATTACTAAAGTTTCACCAAAATCCGTTTAGTAGATTTTGCGTGAAAGAGTAACAAACATCCACTCATCTATCTATTCATACCCAAGAAATTTCACATTTATTATACTAGTAAGAAGTATTTACAAAAAATATATTTTAAGTATTTGTATCAGTTGTCTAGTACCCATAACACAAGCTCTGCTTAGGTTGGGACTAGATGGTGCTGCATGATTTGTCCTGGGCTATTATTATTATTATTATATTCGTGGGGAAGATATCTAAACAATATTTATATATAAAAATTACATGTCACATTGTTCGTCAGCGATGGACTCCTAAACTACTGAACCGATTGCAAATTTGATTTGCACATTGTGTGCAATTTGATCCAACTTGAAAGATAGGATAGCTTACATCTCAGTTTATAGTCGCAATTTCGGCGGTGCGGCTAAGGCAATTTGTTCATTGGTGAGGTAATGGAGTGATTCGTTTTAGGGTACAATGGGACTGACATGTACTTAGATGGTACAAAAGTTCCTAAATTTTAAAAGATAAAAAAACAAAAATGGCAATATTATTTTATTCAAGAACCTTAGACACAAAACGCGTGGCCGGGTCTGCTAGTCTAATTATAAAATTCGTGATACTTTTTATTGTTTTTGAAAACCTATTTAATTCTTCAACAGAACCATGAGCAGAAAGAAGCATGAAGGCGGCATCGACAGCATCACCATATCCACGGGCACGGCAGACAAGAAAAAAAAGAAGAAAACCAAACCTACAAAACTCCATTTAGTACACCCGGCCATGATAGCAATGCAGAAGCACGACAAAGGTCGAGGATTCCCTGGCAAAATCCAATCCTGGGTGATCGGTGATGAACTGCGATCAGCTCCTGAACAGCCTGATGAAGGAGTGGCTTTGGAAAATTCTTCTGCAGTTGTGAATAACTCTCGGCAAGCACGCAACATGTTTAATGAAATGATGAAAACTGGTGATAAGATGTTGGATGATGTAGCTAATTATGCGATGAATAGTGATGATGTCGATGATGATTTGATGAATATAAGGAATAATATGAATTCTATCGGAGGTTGGTGGTGGTTGCATCTTGTTTTTGTAGTTAGTAATGCGGTAAATAAAAATATATATCATAAAACACATCGAACAGAACAAGAAAACAAACACAAAATTATTATTCTACTGTAATTAATTATCATATCTAATGATTTTGACTGCCTCAGTAATCTAGCGATTTAAACTTCTGATGGTCGCGGGTTCGATTCTCCGCTCAGTACAAAGATTTGTATTCATGAATATAATTGTTCGTATTGGTCTGGGTGTTTCCAATGTACATTAGGTATGGATTTAAAATAATATTTAAGTATCTGGTTTGTGTATTTATATAAGTTGTCTAGTACCCATAACACAAGCTCTGCTTAGCTTGGGACTAGATGGCATTGTCAGTTGATCTGGATTATTATTATTGTGTTACTATTACACAAATTATTATTATTTATACATACATCAAAACTTACGTAACTTTTTTTAAGTAACTACTTTCCATCATTAATTCATTATTTTTCATACAATCATTAACACATTAATTCATTAAATGATTCATTGTTTTTAATGATTCATGCAGGCTACATATAAATCTTTACATAGTATAAAACAAAGTCGCTGTCGCTGTCTGTTAACTTACATATATGTATTAAATTACGCAACGGATTTTCATGCAGTTTTCAGCAATAGATAGAGTGATTCAAGAGGAAGGTTTATATGTATAATACATATGAGAAATTCAAAGATTTCTAATAGATCCGTGCGAAGCCTTAACGGTTTGTTAGTATATTATAAATTGAGTGTTAATCACAATTTATAGTACGCAGGTTCATACAATTTGCAGAAAATACAGTACTTTTGCAAAAGTGTACGTGTTCATTTTTTTTTACTAAGCATCTTGTATGCATGTTTATATATATATGTTTTTGTTGTTCTATGTTATGGCATGTTTCATAGTGATTTGATGAATTTTGTAGTTGGTAGTTGACTTTTCCAATGTTGAGTAATTATATCATCTCTTTCTGTATGTATGTCTGTCATGTTAATTAGATTGATTTGTTGCCTGAAGCATTTGCATAAGTAAACTATATGTCCGCATGTCACTGTGAATGTTTTAGTTACGATATATTTATTGATATTTTCTAATTCAAATTTAAATTATTTATGTATGTAGGTCATTTTTGCCGTTTGCATAAAAATATTTTTTTCATATTATATTTTTTTCCCTAATTGAATTAATAACAAAAATTGTCTTCATATTTTATATTCAATCTAGAGTAAACGATATATTTTGTATGCTAGTATTACTTAATTTATTAATTTTTAATTCGATGATTCAATATTTCGTTCATTAGTCAATTTATTCATAGTTTAATCATTAATTATGTCGTTCATTTATTCATTAATGCAATCATTAATTAATTTAATCATTAATTACTTCATTCATTTATTCATTAAATTAACACTATCATTTAATAACTGAAACAAGTTTATAGACACTTGTAATTTTTATGAATAAAGTGTTATATAATGTTAATTATCAATATTCTAGAAAACAGAGGCAAAAAGAAGAAGAAAAAGAAGGCCATCCTCAAGCTGTTACTTCTCGGGGCTGTGCTTAAAGCGAAAATCGGTACCATTCTGCAGATACTGTCCTTTAAACTTCAGGTAAGAACCACTACCCTTTCGATTACAGTCGGACGACTCGTGCGGACGACACTATTCAATTGGCTTCCTTTTCTCGAACTATTCAAATGCTGTAAGTCGCAGCTGGCCTTTACAGCTTGACCAGACGATAGGGGGCTAGTGCAGATGGCACTCCAAACCAGCAGAAAGTTTTATAGCGCGGCTGAAGGAGCTCTAACTTAGCTTAGGAGTTATAACCTCAGCTCAGGTCGTCATACTTTCGATCCTCGTTTGAATTAGACTGGAGATCAATCGGGTATGTTCCACCCTTTTCAAATCGAGCTGTCTCAGCACATGATAATGTGATGACATGATAATGTGAGCCTAGTTTAAAAGTTCATCTTCTTAATCCTTCCCTCACTGCTGAGGATCGTGACTCTTTTGTCGACCAGCTGTCGCCATCGGCTGCGCTCAGATGCCTAATGTATTGCGGCGCTGACTGTAATATTCGGTGTGATATTTGATTTGACCATCGACTGGTATTTCGGCCTCGATTAAATAGATTCGCCTAAAGTTAATGACATACATGAACATATATATACATACTATCTATCTAAATAAATTACGTGAGGTGTTTTTTTTAATTTTCTGTCCCTCCCTGCCCCTCTGGTGAGATGTGAGATTTCATTCAACCCCCTCCCCCGACCCCCAATATCACGTGAGATTTTTCAAAATGTGGGTTTCTTACGTAAACGCGTTGGATTGTTATTGTAAAAAGAAAAAAAACATTTCTTCGTGCTTTTATTTAAGACTAGTACTAGTAATCAATATTACTGAGAGTTATAAGTGTAATAAGCATGTACAAACTGGATTAAATGGACCAAAATAGTATAACTTTTTTTTTTTTTTTTTTTTTTTTTTTTTTTTTTTTTTTTTTTTTTTTTTTTTTTTTTTTTTTTTTTTTTTTTTTTTTTTTTTTTTTTTTTTTTTTTGTTCCAGTCAGAAAAAAAATTCCCGAGACTCCCCTCTCTCCAATGTAAGATTAGATGAGATTTGACTCGACCCCCTCACCCCCTTAAACATCTCACGTAATTTATGGACGCCCCCTAAATGACCAGATAGATTAAATTGTGATTGGCTTCATCACCAGGTCAAATTCTTCATCCTGGCCCTAATCGGTCTTGGCATCAACCTGGCCAAGCTCTGGATCGAGATAAAGAACAAGCATAAAGAACATCCACAGAAGGTATGTCATGACTATGTACTAGTAAGTAATTTATTTTATTTATTTGTTTACTTCGACCTATATAATATACTAGCTGCTCCGCTCAACTTCATCTGTATCACACTTACTTGATATTTCGCCCAATTCACATATTATTAGAAAGGAAAGAAAGAATTAGTCTAATCTAGCCATTCAAAGAGGGAACGCTGCCAGTATCTTCGGAACGTTGCCTAAAGGGGATATTTTAGTTATTGTATTATATTTTTTAAGCTTTTTAATTTATCTTTGTTGTACAATTAGGTTATGTAAATTCACATATATATTTTTTAATTATATGTATATATATATATATATGATACTTTATATAGCTTGTTCATCAAAATAGCTTATGAGTTATTTTGATGAATAAGCTATATTACTGTAAAGTTTTATTAAACTCAGTTAAGTAGTAAGTAGTTTTTGCGTGAAAGAGTAACAAACATCTATCCATACTCACAAACTTTCGTGTTTATAATATTAATAAGATATATATAAACAACTAGCTGTTAAAACAATTTTATTAATTTTTCTAAAATAAAAGTAGCCTAAAGAACTAAAAATTATTTTGTTCGTCTTAATTTATTCGTTCCATTAGGTACTGATAGGTTCAAACTAATACATTTACATCCTGCATCATCCCTTATTTTATCCCCATGGGGGTTGAATTTATCAAAATCCTATTTAAGTGAACGTCTTCATCATAGTTGCTCCAATCTTTAATTTCAGTTCATACAGTCGAAAATCTAAGAAGATTTATACAAACTTTCATCCTCTATTTTATCCCCTTAGGGGTAGAATTATTCAAAATCCTTTCTTAGCGGATGCCTACGTCATAACATCTACCTGCACGCCAAATTTCAGCCCGATCCGTCCAGTGGTTTGGGCTGTGCGTTGATAGATCACTATGTCAGTCACCGTTGAGTTATATATATTTAAATTACATCCTATTAATAAAGTAAAGGATGAAAAATCGGAAACTAAAATAGCTCTAACATCTAAGATTTACTCTCACTGCCTGCACCCTTGACATTGTGATGCATGCATTGCATAACTCACACAAAGTCATGAACGTGAAAGTCAAGTAAACTAGTTCTTGAGGTCAGCGTTTGAAGAAATACGAATTAACTTACTTTACTAGAGCTTAGTACTGTTTGTGCCAAATATTTTTAACTAGTTTCTAATCGCGAGTTTGTCTTATGTAGTAAAAAAAAAATCAATAGATTTTCTTGCTCTTCTCAATTGAATCTGTACTGAACTGGACGGTAGGAAATAAAATATATAAAATAAAATATCATACTCGTGAACCAGTTCCTACAAGCGTAGGGACTGGTCTGTTCAGGTTACGAATACTGATTAGACATTTTGCTTTTGCAATAGCATATGCTGGTGGTCACTCTATTCTCTCAATTTTCAATTTAAAATGAATCTGTTTTGAAATATGTACAACATTTATTTGAAAAGAATACGAGCTGAGTTTCTTGTCAGTTCCTCTCATCTCGAAATCATTCCGAACTGACGGTAGATTTGACATATCATAAGAGTCTGTAATAGACCTACACAAATTTGGAATTTGAAAAAAATTAACGTTCATAAGCGGCTAAAATGTCCAACATGAATAAATTATTTTTTAATTTAAATTTTGTATTTGTATGATTGACCGATATATTAGTAAGTTTACTGGAAACAGACTATGTGGAAAGTCGTCTATGTACCTAACTCAGTCTTAAATCAGTCACCAAGCAGCTTACTCTATTACATATCGCACACTGATTATAATACTGGCATAACTCAAATTTTTCAAATTTTGGAAATGCCACTTTAAAACGGTGGCATTAAAGTCTCATTTCAAAAATTTAGAATTTCTGAATTACACCAATATAGTACTAAACATGCGATATATAGAATATACTTTATCTATACTGCTAGAAAAAAAAATCAAATGTACGTTTTTTTATTAGGGAGCTTGAGCTATTGTCAGGTGCTAAGACCTGTAGCACTGCGACCTACATAGATCTATTGTGCTCGCCCTTTTCAAAGTCCGCTACCTAGACCCGTCAGGGACAAGAATTGAAGGATATTCTTAGGAGCGATGGTTTTTATCTCCTCAGGATAGAGTGTAAACTTTCCAAAGGAGATATTTCGTTTATGCATGAGTGGGTTACAACCACATAGGATGTGTAGTGGAATTTCCTCTTCAGTTTGACAAAATCTGCAGATTTTTGTTAAATGTCTTACAAAACACTTTCTTTCAAAAAAAGCTTAGTATAAAATTGAAGAGTTTATTTAAAAATGATAATGATGTTTTTGTAGAAAATACTTAAAATTCATAATTCATTCGTTGCGTAGCGGTTTCTGTGTTGATTATCGCATGCCTCTTACTTGTTATCTAATTATTTAATCTAAATAATATCTATTCAAAAGAGCAACACACAAGTTTCTTGCTCATTCTCTTTGTGATGAGTTTGGTGGTAGAATAAAAATTTATCACCATTCAAAAGTGCTTTTATTGAGTTTATTTGAATGAAGATTTTTTCAGTTTCTTTAAAAAAAACGCTATATCATTCTCTACTCTAAATACTATGTATACGAATCATATTGCGTAATGTTTGGTTAAGCAGTTATGGCGTGAAAGTTCGACAAACATATTCACTTTCTTATTATAGGTAAGATTTCGAAACGGTACTGTTCTATATTTAACAAAACCAGTGGTCACCTAGTGATTAAAATTCGATCCTAATTAATTATAATTATAAGTTGGAAGTTTTTTTATTTTTGGCTTATTAACACAGCGCCATCTAGTCACACGGTAAACATAGCTTGTGTTATGGGTACTAAACAACTGATATAAATACATAGATATTTTTCTTTCTAAGTACATACATAATATACAATGACAGCCTCGATGGTCTAGTGGTTTAGCACACCGCTTTACTATCCGATAATCGTGGGTTCGATTCCTCGCAAGGTACAAACATTTGTATTAATGAGTATGATTGTTTGCATCTGTCTGGGTGTTTTTTATGTATAATATGTATTTATTTACAAAAAAATGTATCCATGTATTTATATCAGTTGTCTAGTACCCATAACACAAGCTCTGCTTAGCTTGGGACTAGATGGCGCTGTGTGAATTGTCTTGAGATATTATTATTATAGAAAGAAAGAAGAAAGGAAGAAAAACCACATAGAAAACACCTAGACCGATACAAACAAACATACTCATAAATACAAATGATTGCACCAAGGAATCGGACAATTACAAATAAATTTAAAAAAATGCATACATATCTAGACACGCGGTAGCGTGTCAAGCCGAGTTTCAAGTAACTGGCCTGCAGCACCGTGTGTATATTTACACGAACCATTTGGAGCCACTTTTGACCCCCTCATAACTCAAACTCTTTCACATAAACCTGTTAAATTTGGTTCATATATTGAGACATGCTAGATAAATATGTGTTCCAAATTTTATAAACAAATCTCAAACGGTTATTTAGATATTAATGTCCAAAAATCGTCGTTTTTATCACTGATCAACTATAGATCAAAATTATAACCCACTTCCAGATGACCTAGGAAGTTCAAATTTGGCATGCAGATAGGTATTATAAAGGAAAAAATCAAAACTGTACGAAATATATTGTAGCCTTCGCAAGTTCTAAACCTGTTACTTGTCGGTTCCTATTTTATTATTAGTAGTAACTAGCAATCGAAAGTAATAATTGGTATATGAGAACTGGCCAAGTTAGACCTTAGGCTACAATATATTATCCTAAGTTATAAGAAGAAATGATATTTTATATTGTTATAAATACATTTCAGGACAGACCATTGAACTTGGCACCCATTTAGTTCTCACCTCTTTTGTCGTAGAAGTCAACAATCAAGGCATATATCATAATATTAAACTATCTTCGGCTATCATTTCACATTTATGTTTTTGATGGGATTCTATTTTACTCATGAATGTATTGCATCGTGCGAGTAACTGAACCAGAGACTTTGAAAACATGTGATATAGTAATAATATAGTAATCTCAGGACAATTCACACAGCGCCATCTAGACCCAAGTTAATCTAACTAAAGCTTGTGTTGTGGGTACTAGATAGCTGATTTGTGGTGGGTAACGACAGTGTATGTATTTTTTTTTATTTTTTGGAATTATATATACTAGGTGGAGGACGTCAATGTTCGCAACACAGTTTTATACTTCTGTGATTATCATCGTTTCTTCAGTAAATTAGTACACATGTTTTCTGTATTAAGTAAATAAATAAATAAAATAAAAATATACATAGATTTTTTTGTAAATACATACATGATATACATTGAAAACACCCAGACCGATACAAACAATCATACTCATGAATACAAATGTTTGTGACATGCGAGGAATCGAAGCCGCGGCAGTCAGAAGTAAAACGATCAGACCATCGAGCCTATAACTTGATTGTTATAGTAGAGATGTTTATATCGCTAGTTAGTGACAGTTGATACGTCTGTTCATTGAATCAGGCGACCTCATTGGGGTCACGAGAACGTGTCGTGCAGGCGGATGCAGGCGGATGCAGTCGAGAAAGCGCAGATACATTAACTGGCTGCATCCTTTGTGGAAAAGTGTGTTTAATGAATTGATGTCGCAAAATAATTGACAAAGACTTTGCGCAAAGTTGACGACCTCGATGGTTTAGCGGTCTAGCACAACGCTTTACCGATGGTCGCGAGTTCGATTCCTGCACACGGCACAAACATTTGTATTCATGAGTATGATTGTTTGTATCGATCTGGATATTTTCTATATATAACATGTATGTATTTACAAAAATATACATATATCTATATGTATATGTATCAGTTGTCTAGTACCCATAACACAAGCTTTAGCTAACTTAATTTGGGTCTAGATGGCGCTGTGTGAATTGTACTGAGATATTACTATTGTTATTATAACATTTTTGTTTGTTAACCGATTGATTTAAAA